GGGGTTTGTTGTCACTTGTCAAGAAATTCTGTCACGAATATATTGAAAGTAAGAGTTTGTTACAGACAACCACAATTCATCTAATCAAATACCATCCAAGAATTATAGCTTGATAGATTGAACATTTCCCATATCCACATAAGAAATAAATTCTTCAACAAGATTGTCCTCACAATTGTTGCACAATAGTTACACTTCCTAGATAAAAAAAAAAGCCATGACGGAAAACATGTGGAAGGGTCATAATACCGTGTTTGATGCTTCGTCAAGCAAGTAATCAGCAGCTATATGAATAGAAATTGAGGAGTGGAGGCCAGATATTAATTTATACAATATTTTTTTCTCCGGGCAAATCTCTCCAGATGGATCTGCAGAATGTATCACAGGTTAATAATGGAACTTCAGAAGCTGATGCAAAATGTATCAGAAATTTTCCCGTGGTCATGTAGAAGAAGCAAAACTATTCGGGCTTGAAAATTTGTTATTGAAATATTTTAGATTCCAAATATTAATCTAGCAACAAGTTCTGATTAAGGGACCTTTATCAGAATTTGAAGTTGGCAAAGCTGAAATCCTCAAAGAGCAAGGCTGTCCATTCCTTCTCTTGTCACCTTTCTAGATGCACTTTGTAATGAAAAGTAAAAAGTCGATTTCATGGAATTCCAAGACAACCATTCTTACACTCGTACTTTCAAAATGCTAAATCTTCCTCAAGGACCACAATTATAAAGAGCCATAACGGTAATGTAGGTCTGTTTTATTAACTGCTTCTCTTATATTTTAATTCATGACAAAATAGAAGTTTGCACATGCATCAATTGTGCTTCATTAGCTTGTGATAATTAAATTGCATAACCGAAACTACCAAGCGCTAATATAAAGCAATTCCACAACTGCTTCAGCAAAACAAGTACTCCCTCCAATGCAATTTATATGACACACTTTCCGTATTAGTCTATTAAAAAAAGAATGACACATTTCTATATTTGGAATAATTTAACTTTAAACTTTCCATTTTACCCCTTTTACCCTTAATGAGAAGCTTTATAGCCATACATATGTCATGGCCTCACAAAACTTTTATCCCTTAAGCTTTTAAGACCACAAGTTTCAAAAGTCTTTTTTTTTTCTTAAAACTCCATGCCGAGTCAAACTACCTCATATACTCCAGAGGGAGTATATCATAATAGTTTTTGGGTTATAACTATTTCTCAATGATGAATCTCCATATAAACGAAGTTTAGTCGATCTCTTCAAACTGAATGTACACCACATTCACCCAATAAACATGCATACTCATAAAGAAAGGTGCAACAAGAAATGTCAAAAGTCATTGGCCTTCGATAGACCGACATATCACTTGTCTTTCCAAACCAGGAAAGAGTGCGTAAAGTTGGTCCTTTCCTTAGTTGAAGTACCTTATAATACCTAAACAACCTATTATGCTAATTTCAATCTCAGACATTACATTCTTCCAGTTATTGCTAGTAACCTAAGTTGCTCGGACACGGGTGCAGATCTAGAGGTCGGATCTTTCAAGATGTAAATTTTAAGATTCAGGGATACGGATCCTAGTATGGATACGGGTGCGGGGATCCGACTAAAAATAATTTTAGAAAAACAAAATCTCTCTAATTTATGAGAAATTTTATGGAATACTTACGTATAGCTTGTAAAGTGTGGATTTCCTTTTTATTCTAAAGTTGTAGATAAGTAAAAGATTGATTTCCTAGATAAGATATGTTATTTTCTTCAAATTTACCCTAGTTTTAGTTCTGATTTCGGTAATCAAATTGTATCTCGTCTCGAATTTTTCTGTCCGTCGTGGTCAAAGTACCCAAAATTGTTTGACCAGATCCGGTACGGATCCCATACCCACACCCATACTAGTGTCGTGTCGACACGGGTGTGGCACCTAAACTGCCATGTCGGAGCAGCTTAGCTAGTAACATAGCAAGTTTGATTTAAAAAGCATAATGCTTTAGACCCCTCATACTATTGATAAGTAAATTATGTCAACTACAGAACGAGGTGACTAAAGAGTACCTACTTGTTTCTTCATCATAGGTAGTAGATAAAAAGTATTCTGAAAATTCTAAGATAGTAGGAGAAAGAAAGTGTAACAACACATATGTCTAAGCACAGCAAACTGTGCAGCCATCATATAAATCAAAGCAACTAGCACTTCTTATCAACTTATAGGTGCTAGCTCACCAACGCATGTTCTTCACATCCATTATAAGATGTCTATACCCAAAGACAGAGAGCCAGGCAAGGAATAGAAGAGGAGGTAGAGAAGTGGAACAGTTCCATACTGATACAAAGAAGAAGCTAACAGATAAAGATAAGTAAATGAATCGGCTTACATTTAGGGCAGTTTTCTACATAAATAGCATCCCATATTCTTCTAGCAGATGGACCACTGTACCCAGTGTAGCGCTCAGGGTTCAACTGGAGATTAACATATGTCATTTCAGCTGAAAGTGAAAAAAAAGAAGACAATATCAGTCCTGCCAATTTCAGAAAACATATTCGCTAAAATTTCTGTTGATTCAGATGATCCTACTTCAATTTATCAGAAGGCATTTAAAAAAGGGAAAAATGCATGGGAGAAAAAATGGGTTACTCTGCCACAAAGCAGTCCATGCCTGAAATTGAATCGCAAGTATATTTGTAAATTTGCCACACTTAGCAGATGAGTATTTTTCAGTGCAGCAGCCAAATGAGAAAATATCCTTAAAAAGTATCTACTTTCAAAATCAGCAGTGGCACTAACGAGTCAGGAAATTATACAACCAGTTCTCCAGATAAATTATATTTTTTCTCTTCTCTTTTTCCTTTTGGGTGGGTGGGAGATTGGAGCTATATATACAACCATAGAAAGTGAACAACCATTATCTGTCTCATCATCATTCGTCCATGGGTTGTCCACTTCCACCCAGCCTTTGAATGCTTTGGAATCTATTGTACGATCAACAGCTGCCTCAGGGTTTTCTTCTAGACAGACTAGATTACTTGAAGAAAGTCGATAACTCTGCGCCTTAAATGGCTCAGGAAATTCATTTTCTGGGCATTCACAAACACTGCAGTCTCGTAAATGGCACATTCCATCATCTGGCCAGAATGGACAATCACACCACAACTTAACCTGCAAACTTAAAACACGGTCAGATAAAAATCGAACTTGATTTTACGCAAGCAATGTCAGCAGTCCGTCCTGAGAAGGTATAAAATAGAAAAGAAGCAAGTGATGACAGCATAAACAGTAGGCTGCTAATGTTCTTGTTTGAAGCTGAAGCTTATGTCATCGAATTATAGATTAAATCAAATACATAAAGTTGAAAGAGAATCACAATCCTTATTTAGGAAAGAAAAAAGAAAAGATGGAAATTTAGAAGCAAATGATCGGACTAGTAAATTGGCATATAGAAAACCATATCTGAGGATCCTAGAAATAGAAGGAGCAAGTAACTCTAATAAGCAGAAGAGTTAAACTGTGTCAAAATGTGCAACTGTGGAATATGATCAATCTTGCATAATATGTGGGGAAGAAGCAAGATGTGAAATAGCAATACGGCTTCTATACAAAAAGAGCATAACCTCTCTTCCATCAGGAGAATTTCAGCCACAAGGCTGTCTCCCGCACTAGAGTGCTTGCACTTTAAATTGAATATTCAGAATTTATTTGTTCATATCACAGAACAATACCAAAAACTTTCCCTCAAAGCTGAACTTTTTTTCCCTTAGAACATTTGGATTCTAGATTCTTTTCCCTATTAAAAAGGACAAATGTGTGCCAAATATGATCCTAAAGGGGTTACAATAGAATTGAAAGCCACATAAACCAAGGAAACGAAAAATCAAACAGAGGAAAAACAAGTGCATGTAATTAAAGAAAATGTACATAGAGGAAAGACGAACGTTTAATATTTATGACCAGAGACAAAAATGCACAAAACTATACTGTCTCTTTCCTCTTTCCAGCTACGGATTCCACAGAAGTATCAAATAGAAGGATAAAAAATCTCAGATTCATTCACTGAGAATACCCTAAGTAAAAGCGTTTCCAGTCGCTTTCTGCCTACTAACAGTAAGAAATTTAAACAAGATTTAATTGAACATTATACATCCAAAGAGCTTGAAATGGGAAGGGTGACCTTTTCCAACTATTACCCAACAAGAAATGGATGGTTTAAGCTCTATGGATCTTTGGCATGGAAGAAGGGGAGCCTTGGCGCAACTAGTAAAATTGCTGCCATGTGACCAGGAGGTCACGAATTCGAGCCGTGGAAACAGCCTTTTGCAGAAATGCAGGGTAAGGCTGCGTACAATAGACCCTTGTGGTCTGGCCCTTCCCCCGACCCCGCGCATAGTGGGAGCTTAGTGCACTGGGCTGCCCTTTAGATCTTTGGCATGGATAAAGCTCCACGATTAAATGGCTTCTCCATGGCCTCTTCTTAGTACTCTAAGGATGCCATTAAAGAGGTATCATGGAGATAAGTACACTTTACCTGCCTTATTCAAGAGAAACTTCAAACCTTCCTGTTCTGGCCAAAAAAGAAAGTAGCTAGCAACTTCACAGACTTTCATGGAATAGTTCTTGCCGGAAGCGTCGGTATAATTTAAGCTAAGGATTTCTACTTGATAAGGCTGAAGGCTTCTTGATGAGCTCGTTTTAGATGCTCAAAAGCCTTCTGATGGAGCAAACAAATTTTGCATGTGATACTTATTAGTTGCTTCTCAGGATCTGCCCTATAGAGATAACAGATATTGCTGAGTGATTCTATCCAGGATGCAATAGACGCTTGTAAGAAATGCAACCTTACTTTGTAGAAGCAGGTGAGGTCCCTGTAAACTGAAGCTTGGCATGTGAAACTTCTCCCCCCTTTGGAGAATATAATCATTTACTAATTATGGAAGCGAATGGTAAAGCACTGTGGAAGGCTGTTATGACTGTCAGACAAGCATTTATAAGTCACTTATATTGTAGCATTTATTGCCAGTACAAATCAGGTTTTGTTTTCCCTTGAGAAATAGTGTAGGGGTAAGGTCTCCACTGTTCCTTGAGCCGAGGGTCTATTGGAAACAGCTTCTCAATCTTTATAAGGTAGGGGTAAGGTCTGCGTACACACTACCCTCCCCAGACCCAATTTATGGGAATACACTGGGTTCGTTGTTGTTGTTGTTTAAATAGTGTAGGGACTCAGCATAAGAAGAATCTTCTGCGAAATGTTTTGCATTCCAACAACAAGGGCTCTCTTACAGCTAATTGATTCAAAGACAGTACAGGAATGACCGGAACAGCAATTTCCATACAGCCTCCCAATACTGGGAGCTGCAGGAACCTAAGGACCTTTCAGCAGAACAGTAATGAATTTATCAGAAACAGAATTAAATGGCTAAAGTCTAAAAAGTTTTATTTTCTTCAAAGTAGTTATTCTTAAGGCCTCCAAGGGTCCACTTGAAACTTGTGAGCACAAGAAAGCAACATTTTAGTGCATGTAGTGTACAGCGGTGGTTCTTACAGCTGAAAACTGAAGAGAAGACAATCTTCAGCTACTGCTTCAAGTAAAAGAGACCTATAATAGCTATTGATGACTTCTCGTTGCATTGCAGGATAGCATCCTCAGGCGGGTTTTTTTTCTTCTATCTGTACTTAGAATTTATAAGATGTGATTATTACGTTGAAGTACTGGCAGATCAGGGAACCAGACAGAAATACGTTGAAGTACTGGCACATAAGGCAACACGACGGAAATAGGAATAGGATGTGGAGAAATTGATATCCGTGAGTCTCACATGGTTAATTTGGAATGGACGAACTGACGTTATTGAAGGGGTATTGCATATTTGCCCATTTGTGCATTTTAAATTAGTTTCGGTTGGTTATGATATAGTTTCCCTAAAAGGTAGAGATTATCTTATTACAGCACAACTAGAGGATGCATTTACTCCTGATAACAAAGATATTAAGTGAAATCAGTAAAAAGGGCAGGTCTTGATACTTTGGTCACAGAATTGATGTGTCACAATCAGAATACTATATTTGAAACCAATCTGTTACTTCATTTTGATAACTGCTACTGTATTAGTTGAAACCTTTTAAAGTCGACCACGTCTTGTTATTTAGATGAGATATCACTAGTAATGGTCGAGGACTTATCAAAAACTTGATTGCCCTTGATATCAAGATAAAAAGAACTTGATTTTTCACAATTGTGCAACATACTTTCAAACCAAAATAATCAAGAAAGTCAGACATGGAAACTGAGTACACAATCATAAGTATAATAAGCTATCCAAGCAGAAGCCAAACCACCACTTCTGGACGGGCTGATTCGTGAACTAACAGCCAGTACATAATTTCTACACGGTAGGAACATATTAGCATGTACAACTTACAGCTCAAACGGTTTTAATTCTAAGCGGACTAAGTACATGAGCACGCTAAATATTTTCCACCAGATGTGATTAAATGAATACCTTGAAATATCTGAAGAATGGTGTTTTAACAAGTTCTTGGAGCGATGGATGTAATACTTCCTTGTTAAGATGATTCACGGTGTCGTAGTCATAACAACAATCTTCCACAACCCTACTATATTTGCCTGCCCCCTGCAAATATTTCGCCATAGCAAAACCCAACTCAAAGAAAATTCACCTCTATAAATTTCAAAATTAAAAATTTTGAACTTCATGCCATCACTCCAAGACTGAATTTCATGTAGTATTGATCCATCAGTCCAAATAATCCATCATAAAAGAATAATAACTAGAGCTAGAACAGGAACACTTAGCAAAAATTACCATTTACTATCTTTTTCCAGAAAAATCAAACAATTAAGACAGTCATAGATTATTTTTCTTAATTTTCCCTCCAAATGGAGGAAAAAAAAAGAATTACATCCCAACATAGGGAAACACACACCTCAATCCCAAACTAGCTGGGGACACAATATATCCGCTCTAATAGGGCAAAAACTTTCTTGTAATAGAGTTTAAGTTCTATGCACTCATAGTATAAAAAAATATTTACACAATCAGGTCACACTTAAAAGGTAATTATAGGTAACTCTATTTAATAATGTTAGTTAATATCCTAAAATAAAGGTAAGTAACCTGTTTAAATTATACTAATGGTAAAAGTGCATATAACTTAAATCCTTTGTGATATAACATTATTCATATTCCAAGAATTTGAACTCCATGTCATCATCAATTTAATCTACAAAACTCAATAACTGTAAACAATCCCAAACAGTGTCATTGCTTCGGATAATAACCGCAAAAAATAAAAATAAAAATAAAAATCATCAATAACAAAAACGTCAGCTGAATTGTAATTATAACTAAACAAAAAAAAAACCTGAGAACAGTTGCATCTTTTGCCAGTGTTACTGAAGGGATGGAACGTGCGGAATTTGGTGGTATTAAGGAGAACAGCGAAGAGTACAACAATTAAAGCACCAATAAACCATGCGTATTGAATTCTAAAACTGTTCTTCTTCTTCTTCTTCTTCTTCTTCTTCTTCTTCTTCTTCTTCTTCTTCTTCTTCTTCTTCTTCTTCTTCTTCTTCTTCTTCTTCTTCTTCTCAATTTCGGGCTTCGCCATGTGGATTTAAAGCTGCGTTTGGCCGTTAAGCAAATCGGCGAAGAAAATGAAATTCCAACTGTGGAAATGGAAAAATGGCAGGGGCGGTTAGTTAACGGTTTTGATTAGGCGGTGTCATATGGAAATGAAACAAAAAGGGAAGGAAAAAGAATTTTAAGTTACTAAAATTTATATACTCTATTAATTATGCGGTATAAGTCTAAGATATGAAATAAGAATGTCTAGTAGTAATGTAGAGTTTAAATTATTTAAAAACAAAAATACTTTTTTTAAAACAAGTAATTCATAACAATCTCGAGATCTTATTATAATTAATTATCACATAACAATTCATTCATCATAAATTACTATATGAAAAATTTAAGTATTACAATCTCTCCATAACTATTAAGTGAACCAAACTATTCCTTAAGTTTAACTAATTTAACTAATTTAACTTTACAAAGAATCTCAAGTCATAAATTAAGGTTAATTCATTGATCCTGATTCTTAGTGTAAATTTTTTTAAACGTATTTATTTTAATAATTGAAATTTGTTATGCTTACATATTTATTTTTAGAAAAGTATGCGAGTCATGATATTTACGGAAAAAATAAAAATAATAAATTCTGAAAAATTGAAGTGTCACGACCCGAAATTTCCACTGTCGGGACCGTGATGACCCCTAACATTTCACTTGCTAGGCAAGCCAACGTTAGAGAATTCATTAAACCAAATCCTTATTTCTATTAAGTAAATAACAATAATTAGCTAAGATGAAATATAATAAGTGCGGAATAATATAAAGATTGTATCAATTACTACCACCCGGATCTGGAGTCACAATTCACGAGCATTCTAGAATTTACTACAAGTAATAGTCTGAAAGAAATAAAACTATCGGAATGAAAGAAACAGTAGAATAGAAAAGATAGACGGGGACTTCAAGGTCTGTGAACGCCGACAGATCTACCTTGAGTCTTCGGATAACGGTCCAATAGTAAAATCTCGATCAACCCGAGCCGGTACCAAAATCTGCACAGAAAGTGCAGAGTGCAGTAGTAGTACAACTGACCCCATGTACTGGTAAGTGTCGAGCCTAACCTCGACGAAGTAGTGACGAGGCTAAGGCAAGGCACCTACAACTCAACTTGTGCAATTTAACAATGTATATATAAATAACAGTAATGAAGAATTAGACAGGAGATATGGGGAGGGGAAAACATGCTGGGAGAAATACGAGATAAAGAACTATAGCAAAATGATAACTGGAACAACCAACATATTATGAATCAACAGGAACACGAATACAGTAAAGAAAAAATGCACGGCATCACCCTTCGTGCTTTTACTCTCAATCTCACCATAAATCAATAGAAACGGTACGACATCACCCTTCGTGCTTTTATACTCACAATATGGCACGATATCACCCTTTGTGCATTAACACTCACAATATGGCACGGCATCACCCTTCGTGCATTAACACTCCCCCTTACCATAATACAATGAATAAATAATAACAGGGAGATAAAATAACAAGTACAAACCTTAATTCAATATTTGGTTCCACAATATCAATCTCAACTTTGAAATAAATACTCAATTATCACCAGAAAATTCATAAACATGATAAGAACGATCAATTTAATAACACTAGTATAAACACGTAGCAATTAGGCATAGCAAAGAGGCAATATAAGAAAAACGGGAGAAAACAGGAAAAACAGGTAAATTGGCGGCGCATAAGTACTCGTCACCTTACATATACGCCGCTCACATGAATTTCATATAGCAAATAATCTGAGGTTCCTAATTCCCTCAAGTCAGGGTTAGACACAACACTTACCTCGCTCTGAATGCCACTTAATTCTCAATCACAACTTTTCCTCTAGAATTCATCTCCAAACCACCCGTATCTATTAAAAAATGACTCAATAATATCAAATATTGCTAAATGAATCAATTATATTGCATAAATTAAATTTCCCAAATTTTTCTCCGAAAAGTCAAAAAATCGACCCGGGCCCGCTTGGTCAAAGCCCGAGGTTCGGACCAAAATTTATTTATCCATTCACCCCCGAGCCCGGATATATAATTGGTTTTAGAATTCGACCTCAAATTGAGGTCTAAATCCCCAAATTTTCGAAATCCCTAGTTTCTACCCAAACTCCTAATTCTACCATGAAAACTCTAGATTTTAGGTTGATAATTCATGAAATGTAATGGGTAATTTAAAGAAAATGGTTTAGAATCACTTACCAACACTTTGGGGAAGAAAATGACTCTTGAAAATCGCCTCTCACCGTTTGGTTTTTGAGAAAATGAATTTTTTTGGCTAAATCCCGTGTTTGGATTCTGTTAAGTGCTGGGCGACAGTGTGCATCGCGTTCGCAATGCCACTGTCGTGTTCGTGAAAAGCATTGGCTGCCAAGTCTTCAAGTTCACGAGATAGTATTCGCATTCGCGTAGGCTACCCCCCGGCCTTCGCGTTCGTGAGGCATTGCTCGCATTCGCGATGAAGGAAAGGCTGACTCCCCCTAGTGCCTAACACTACGCGTTCGCGATGAGCTTGTCGCGTTCACGAAGGGTAATGCCCCCATCGCTTCGCGTTCGCAAAGAACAAAATTCCGGCCTCATCAGTTTACTCTTCGCGTTCGCGAGAGGACCTTCGCGAACGCGAAGAAGGACATGCCAGAACACCAGAATCTGCAGAAAACCAGATTTTTCAAAGTCCAAAATAACCCGTGGCCTATTCGAAACTCACCCAAACCCTCGGGGCTCCAAACCAAACATGCACACAAGTCTAAAAACATCATACGAACTTGCTCGCGCGATCAAATCGCCAAAAAATACCTAGAACTACGAATTTAGCACCAAATCAAATGAAATTCTCAAGAACACTTTAAAATTTCTAACTTCTCAACTGGACGTCTGAATCACGTCAAATCAATTCCGCTTCTCATCAAATTTTACAGACAAGTCTTAAATATTATATTGGACCTATACCGGGCCCCGAAACCAAAATACGGACCCGGTATCAACAAGGACAAACATCAACCAAATTCTTAAAAAAGAAATAATTTTCAGACTTTTAATTTTCATCAAAAGTTCATAACTCGAGGTAGGGACCTCCGAATTCGATTCCTGACATACGCCCAGGTCCTATAATTCGATACGGACCCACCGGGACAGTCAAATACGGATCCGGGCCCGTGTACCAAAAATATTGATCGAAGTAAACTAAAATCAACTTTTAAGGCAAAAATTCTTATTTTCATCAATTTTCAACATAAAAGTTTTCCGAAAACACGTCCGGACTGCGCACGCAAATCGAAAAAAATAAAAAATAAATTTTTTAAGGCTTAAGAGTGCAAATTCGAGTTCTAAAACATAAGGTGACCTTTTGGGTCATCACATGAAGTTCTATGAGGTGGTACAATAGAACTTTCCAGGACTTGAGGAGGGCAATTGCCCTGTCCTCAAGCTGATATTGGTCTTGTCAATCGGTTTATAAGCAATAAAATTTGAAGATAATAATTCTAAAAAATTTCTTATATGGATCGGAGTGAGAAAAACTTCTTTTCCTTGATTATATTTGACAAATAGACAACAAGACAATAAGTTTAAGTAAAGAGAAAAATCTCGAAACTTCTTAATCCCTTATTTATAGTTGAAGAGATGTTTTTGACAAAACAAAATGACTATCAGTTTTGTATTTTAAATTTAAATGATCATCTTCATAAAGTTCATGTATGCTTGCAGTCTGTAACACATATAAGGAAATTAAAGTGTTGTAAAATACTAATACCAGACAAAGTTAAAAAAGAGTATTTAAACCTACTTAATAATATATGTTACAATCTACCGTAAAATTTCCAACGTTTTAACGATGATGATAAAACAAATCAAAACGTTGAAAGATGATTTAAGTAGTTCAATAGCATAGTACAGTTACAATTTACAACTAGAGAGAAATGGTTATTAGTTTTACTAACATATCTTGAAATGAGATCATTCAAATAGAGGAGTGATGTGACAGTGTTTGTGATAAGAGGAAAATTACGAAAATCAACGGGCAAGTAAGTTCAACAGAATGATAGTGAGACCAATAATGTTATATACGAGAGTGAAGGTTGGAAACTACATATTTGGAAGATGAGTGTCGTATATATGTACATGCGTTACGAAACGTCCATTCAATAATGCTATATATTAAGATTAAACAAATACTTAAATGGTATAATCCACAAGGAGATCAATGTCGTACATTCATTGATATCAAATCTGAATTATCTTTAACCTTTTTACTTCACCAATAGTGTTGTTCAGAGAACCACATATTTCTTACTCTCCACTAATAGCATTAGTGAGAGGGAAACCATAGAACATAGAGATTATGGTTCGGCACAAGATATTCAAATGGCTAATTCACGTTCACTAACTGGCCAATGCATAAAGCACACTTCCTAAATGTCTTAGTATAAACCAGCTTAAATGTGGCATGACATTAATTTTTTTAAAGAAATAAAGGACTGAATAGAAACCATAAGAACAAACCTACCACATCCAAGATACATATTTCCTATTGCCTATTGGTTTTAGATAAAATGCCTATACCATTCTCAGCCGACCACATACTTCTGTGTACAAAATGTGCAAAAGTGATAGGGTTGTATATTCCTTGACCTTAAGCAAAACTCTGGGATGCCAAGGATGGAAGCAGTAGCCAAAATGTATTCTCGAGAGTGAACTTATCAGCCTTAGCAGGACGACTGCATAATTAATAAATACAAAAAGAGCTCTCAACTTCTGCTTCACAGAGTTAAAACAACAAATCCTCATGTGAAATCTACTTCGAGATGTAAATTCTCTCAATCTAAGTAGAATAAATATTGGCGGCCTTAGGGATAGAACTTGTTCTCAGCAATCATTTCAGACATCAACTTATGATGTTGCTTGACACTATGCTTATTTAGTTGCTTTAAGTGTCAAACTTATTTGTCAACTATCTGAAGTAAGCCACCGTTTGTACTACCATATGTCTCTCGTAAGTGTGTACATGTGGCATGAGCAATAGAATATTATTCATATTCATGGATGAGATTATCAACATTATAACTTACAATAACTCCGTGGGCAGTGAAAT